GGCACTAACCCTAGGAGAGCTACAGGCGGGGCTCTGCTGAAATTTGGAGAACTACCACGGCAATCATCAAAAAGGTACAAGTATTTATAAACAATTGTTTACGTAAGATATTCCATTACCCTTGACGAGATACCATCAGAAAGTCAATTGTGGAAGAGAACAAACCTTGATGATGAAATCAATCTGATTACTAATGTTCTACGTGATAATGAATACCCATTGAAATTTATCCAGAAATATTCAAAACGCAATCCTCATACAAAATACGATGGAGTAGAAAGGAAAACCTGCTCCTTACACTTACGTTTCAAAGGTGATGAAATTGCTGGAATAATTAATCGCAGAATAAACTCTGCGTTGAAAGTCACCTACCCATCAGCAAAACTTATGACAGAATTGCAAACGAACTGCTCACTTCAACAAACCAAAATCGACAAGCTCTCTTTTCTTAGTAGCTCCAAGTGCATTTACCAATTCACATGTACGTGCCAAAGCACATACATTGGAAGAACTGAGAGAAGAGTGCATGTCCTCATTTCTGAGCAGGTTCCAGAAAAATTGAGGCTGCGAGGGAATAAGGCCTTCAACAGCGCAATTGCTCGACATCTACTTGACACCGGGCACACCATCGATATTCCGCATGCCTTCAAAATTATCAATAGACGAAGAAGTACGACTACCCTCCGTTTTGCTGAAGCCATCATGATCAAAAAACAAACCTGACTTATGCATCCAAAAAGAGACTTTAATTAACTTGTCACTACCCTGGTTACCTTTTTTGAAATTTTATTTTTATTTATTTATTTTAAAATATTTATACTCCTCCCCTATTACATAATTCTTAAACCACATTATTATTCACACATTTCCACCACTTGATCCTCTTAAATTATCTTAACTTCTCAAATTCTATTTAATTATTATTACGTAACCTATCTTGTGATTATTCAATTCCATTATTACACCACCCAGCCTGAATTAATTCATTTTGACCTCTGACCTGTTCTAGCATATATATATAGTTATTATTGTAACCCAGTTATTTACACTCATCTATGTCAATTGTTTTCACTCTATCTCAATGTAAAAATTTTATCACATTTTTGGTTTGTAAGCAACTAACGAGAAACCTCAAAATAATATTAATTCATACTATTCTGCACCAATATTTGTTCTTGCTTTATTTAAAATCATTAGTTTGTTCAAACACCACAGTTTTGTTCTCTGAGCTGGATGGTTAGACCGTGGAGCTTTCATCATTATTCTGAACGACGTCATCAGTACAAATTTCAGTTGCGGTTGATATTTTTCAGAAGAACGATGAAAGCCCCATGACCAAACCATACTGCTCAGAGAGCCAGAATGACTTCTTTCTAATCTTGTGCACGCATACGGTACATGTGTCATATTTCTGGCTCTAAGCAGATTAGACTTGATATTCTCAAGGGCATATGTTTCCGGTATATTGAGCACAACTGCATTGCTAGATTGTCTTATTCTTTCGAATACCTTTGAAGCAACACGATCTAGGAAATTATTTATGTCGTCTATTTGCTTCGGAACCTCTGCAAGGTTGGGGTTGGTGAGATACTCAGGCGAATTAAGAAACTTCCTTATATCATCCATATGATTGCAATTGTGATTATCATCATTGTTTACCAGCAGAGTCTTCGGTATGTCTGGAATGGAGACAACTGCTATTAGCTTGTCTGAAGATGGACGGAGTAGCTCGTCTCGTTGAAACTGTCAGAAATCGTGTTGGTAGTAGTGTTACATCAGTTTCAGTTTCAGTTTGGGAAGAACAGGAGGCTCGATGGCCTATGTTAGTCCTGGCAATGGTGGTCGCTCAGTTGATCCAACCTTCTTTTGAAAGAGTCGACGGATGGAGCCTCAACCACGTGATGAGGTAGTGAATTCCACTCGTTGATGATTCGATGGGAAAGTCGATAGTCATCTGACAAGTAATTTGTTCTCGGCTTATGAACTTTTTTGGAGTGTCCTCGTAAATTCTCTGTTTTGGAAGACAAGAAAAATGAGGGCATGTTAGGTGCAAATTTATCACTAAGCAATTTGTAGACTGTAATCAAGTCGCCTCTAGTTCTGCGATATGACAACGGGAAAAGGTTCAGCTTGGCCAGTCAAGATTCATACGGAAGCTTCGCTATTGCGGGAACCAGCTTAGTCGCCATTCTCTGAACCTTTTCCAGAAGCTCTCTGTCTTTTTTAAAGCAGGGGCTAGCCGCTTGTATGCAGTACTCAAGTTTAGGACGAACGAACACTGTATACAAAGTCAAAAACGACTTAGTGTCGACATGACTAAAAGCCCTACGTATTGACCATAACGTTCTAAAACTTTTGGCGGCTATTGCACGGCAGTGTGCAGTAGTCTTTAAGTCTTGACTAACGATAACTCCTAAGTCATTATATGTCTGGACGACAGGTAGCTCAGTGTTATTCATCGTGTATGTATCTGTGCCTTGATGACCGTTATGCATCACAACACACTTGGAAGTATTTATCGGCAACTGCCATGTTTGAGACCATTCAGATAACTTCCTCAAGTCATTTTGAAGTTCTAAGCTATCACTCTTACATCGTATCGTTCTTCATATCTTGACATCGTCAGCATATAGCAAGACCGATGATGGTAGGAGACAAGGAAGATCATTTACATACAAGAGGAATAGCACTGGCTCCAAAACTGTACCCTGGGGCACTCCACTAAGCACAGTTTCCCAGCTAGATAACTTTGAGTTCACCCTTACTCTTTGTTGACGCCCAACTAAGAAGTCTTTTATCCACATCAATAAATTACCTCCAATCCCGACATGTCTTAACTTATATAACAGCCGGTTGTGCGGAACTTTATCAAAAGCTTTACTGAAATCAATGAAGGCGACGTCTACAGGTAGCTTTTGGTCCTTAAGAGCACACCAGCTTTCACGAGCCACTAATAAGTTAGTGAGACAAGAATAACCTATTCTGAAGCCATGCTGCTTCTCCGAGAGGATCCGGTTTTTATCGAGATACTAAAACAGCTCCTTCCGAATAATCTTTTCTAATATTTTAACAACCACACTAGTTAGGCTAACGGGGCGGTAGTTCTCAGGTTTGTGTTTCGTGCCTGTTTTGAAGACAGGACTTACTATGGCGTTTTTCCAATCTTTCGGTAAGCGACCCTGCGTAACGGATAGGTTAAAGCATGTACTTAAAGGGTTCGCAACGAAGTTAGATAATTCCTTCAGTAGCCTAGGATGTAATTCATCGGGCCCCGTGGATTTACCTACGTCAAGCTTATTTAGCAGACCAAAGACATCGAGTTCTTTAATGGTCACGCTATCCAGTGTATGTATGGGGGGATCTGTATACGCTGACGAGAAGGGCGCTTCTATGGTATACACGTTGCTAAAGTAGTTCGAGAACGCTTGAGCCTTACCAAAGTCGTCCTTCACTAATGATGAAGCAGTACTGTCTCCCCATAGAGCAGGAATATTTCCTTTTCTTACATTTCACTGAGCGCCTACAAGCAGGCGCCCTCATTTTTTGTGGCATGATAAGAAAGTGATAAGTAGCAGTTAGAGTGAAAAGTGTTGAAATGAGTGAAAAAAATTAAGGCCAAGGGCTCAAGATAGTCTAAATCAAGACCTATGTTTGAAACAATAATGGATGTATCATGAGGATGAGTGAAGGTGTCAAAAACAAGACGGGAGAATGGCAGGAATATCGTAGTAGGGATTTAGTATGTATGTCAGTACATGTGTGGAGGCAAAATAGAACATAAATCTGCTTATTGTGTAAATTTTAACATATGTATCACACGGAAAGATAGCCTTATATGATGATTTAATTTAGAACTGTCGATAATTAGTATCAAACGATCAAAGTGGGTGAGGTATGCGGCACATACATAAACTGAAAGCCTATATTAATTAAAATTGGGGGATGTAGAGATAAGTAGTTTCGAAGATTATTACCATATAAGATTATTATGGTGCTTTACGCTTTATGGTGGAGTTATCGTGTGCATGAAAGACACCTCAACCATACGAGCTGTCGAGACAATGACACACGGCTTAGGGCCATGCGAACTGGTACGTTGCAGGCCGAAATATAAACGGCAAGATATTGAATTAGTTGTAGTGTAGCACAGTTAAGAACGTGTAGAAGATGACTTCCCCCTTAGCAAAATTAAGTCCTGGTGAAATAGAGGTAAAAGCCTCATAACAGGCGACTTTGAAGCATCGTATATAAATTGGGTAAACTTAGAAGTAGGGTAATCAACCACGTTATTTGATTTTAAATCATTAGAAACCACAATCTCCCTAACCTATAAAAACTCGTCTACTTTGAACCTAATTTTCGTATACGGTGATAACGTTACTTAAATAACTTCCCTCCCACCTCTACGGAGAAGGGATCATACGGTCATCTCGTTCAAGTTCATTTCTGAGGGGGCACGTCTAACTGCTGCACCAACCCGTCCTAACATATGGAAGGTAGATATGAAAGCTATCAACTCTGCACCATCGACCAAAAACTGGATGATTGACTCAGGGGAATCAGTAGAAAAGGCATGGACTCATTTCAGGCATATATATACCCTGGAGAGGGGTTTGACACACACAGAGTGGTTTTAGAAGCCAGACCTATTTACTCTGTCCAGACTCAGATTGAAAGGCTATCTGATTTTGAAGTATAGAATACTAAGGGATGATTTTGAACCTAATATATCCTCTCTTCTTCTTCCAAACAGATAAGGATATCTCAGAGGACATAGCAGGGGAGTAGAAAAGCCAAGAAGGAATAAAATACCCGTGGCATACAGTTTTTCACACCGGGTTATCAATTCTTGGAACCTGTTATCTGAGGCAATGGTGTCTGCACTTCTGATTGACTCATTTAAGAGGAGATTAGGAACTTACAGGAACATACTATAAAAGGAATAACATAGGCCATGGGTCTTCTGTCCTTACTATACAAATCTGAATCTATTGGACGTTGTAGACGGTGATTTGTACGTTGCGTTATATTTGGGCATGGAAAGCGTAGATGAGTTTCACCAGCTGAACCTCGACCAGAGAATCTTGAAGGTGATGGAATAATTAGTCGTGTATAATTTTTCATAGGCTATTTCTGATTTGAACTGGATAAAACCTACTGATATACAGCAGGTCGTTATACCGCTGGTTTTCGCCAAAAAGTGTTTGATAGTTCACGCGAAAACAGGATCTGGAAAGACTGCTGCATTTGCGATTCCGATTCTAAATGACCTTTTGCAGGAGAAACAGGTAGCACTACATTGTTTTTAACCTTCTTAGTTTGCTTTGTGCCAATCCACTTCAGTCGTTGTTCTTGCTCCAACAAAAGAGTTATGTTCGCAAGTTGCCAGTAATATCAAATGCCTTTGTAAATATGCTGCGAAAAGTATTTCATCGGTTGACATATCGACTGGTCATGACATTGATCAAATAAAGTAAATCAATTCATAGACATGTGTTCGTATAGGCCTCTCATATTAGAGAACCCTGATATAATTATCGGAACACCGTCTAGACTAATGAAAGTCTTACGTTCAGGCATCCTATCACTGAAGGACCTACGGTGCATCGTCGTAGACGAGGCTGACCTTATATTTACATTTGGTTATGAAGCTGAGATACGTGATCTGAGATCTTATCTTCCTCCGAAGGTTCAAGTAAGTTCTCATTGTACAAAATACCTAATATAATGAAATCCACTTTTTTTGATAGTGAGTACGGACTTAAATATTTATACTGCTGGGATGCATCCGTATGTGTATACGTAGTCGGATAGGGGTAGCAGCAATAGATTGCGTGGCATTTGAAGTGATAATGTTATTTATTAATCCTTACAACCTATAAAAATTTATTATTTGTTTATTCAAACACATAAAAATTAGTACAAGGATGCACCAAATATATATGTGCCACAAAAATCATTTTATGTGTGTGAGGGCTGTGACACGGTCCGGGGGCCCAAACCGAAGCAGGTAGTTTTCTTAAAGGGTACTGTCCTAGCCTTTGACCTAAAAGTCTAATCCACAAGGCGGTGAAGTGTCGTTAGGAGATTCAGTACCGTGGTAGCCGGTTACCAACAATAGGTTCGCACGCCATTTGTTTCTTTAAGATTCTGGAGTCCCTGTGCGCCATCGGTTTGGAATCAGGGTTTTCCAACTTCTCCATGCGGATCCTCCATATCCATCAACCCGGTTAAAGCGCCGGACACTCTTTTTGCCCCCTCATTGAGAAAGCAGTGAGTAGTATACGCATGACCACTTGAGAGTATTTCGAGAGGGAGAGCTGACTCTCCCCACTCTCGGCCGTACTAGGGCATTTAGGGGCGAACCTATAAGAAACCATTAGGGGTTTAAGTGGAAAGGTTAGTTTGTGAACTCTTGAATACTAGGCTTTTGGTTTTTAAAACACTGCACTGATTTCAAAAAATCTAAAAAGTCTTAAATATATGCATTCGGACTACTGGGATTGATTTCAGACTGACGTTTAAGATCTATAACTACCGTATATCTTTGGTATTTGTCGTACCACTCAGAGCCAGTAGTTATCTTCAAAGAAAAGGGATAAAAGCTTCATCAGTTATGTAGATTTACTGTTCAGAAACGAATCCAGCCATTCACCTTGTAATTGGTATTTGCCAAGAAGGAATAACAAGAAAAATTGGTTACTCAAGGTTCCCATTATGCTGATCCTGACTTCGACAATGGTTTGCCTAGTCTAAATATTGTTATTCTTTTTGGATTGTAGTGGTTTTAGTAGCTGTAGGAATTCTGAAGTAAACGACATTGGGATACTTTTATTAGTGATTAACGTATTTATACTTATCATATTTCTTGGATATATGATTTAGGGTGAGGGATCATCTAGTTCGGTATATGGTCTGACAATAGTTATAGGATTTTCGTGTTGCTTGACTGTTTCGTATGTGTGTGACTATCTACCTACACTGCGTGATCGATATAGATCTGGTTTTGTATTACATACAAATCCTGTGGTTTAAAAGTTTTATCTCTAGCGTCCTAGTGATCTCTCTTACGGCTGGTTTATCCTGCAATATAATCATCCAAAGAACCATGTAGTTTTGCTTTGTGAAGTCGTTTGGGTAGTCCATATTTTGAGCTCAGAAAATTTGTGAAGTTCTTAGCGTGAATTAGTTAGGTAAACAAAAAGTTTAATGATCGTACTTACTGTAAGTGTAGCCATCTGTTTCCGTATAATAATGAATTTGTAAGTGTAGGCGTAAACAAATAAGAAGTTTCTTACATGGGATATATTTCCGGAGTAAATTGTAACATGATTTCTTGCTTTTTTTTACAGGCCATTTTGATGTCTGCTACTCTGGATGACACATCTAAAGTCATAAGACGGTATTTGGTGAAAAATGCTGACTGGGTTCGTGTAGAGTTACCCGATGAAGCTTTTTTACCAGGAGACAGCCAACTAACACAATATATTATCAGGTATGTCATCGGTTTGATTCCAATGTTTTAATTTTTTCTTTATATTCACTGGAAAGCGTTTATGGTTGCTTTTCAAGTATCTGTTTCCTGAAATTGTCTTCATAAAATCGGAGTTAACTTACATGTGGATAGTAAACATCACACATTACTAGCAATAAAGTAAATCCGTGTGATCTATGAGCATAACCTGATACGTTTTGTTTGGAAAGATATTTATTCACGTGCTTACTCACATTTGTTTCAGAGAAAAGATGTGATATGCATCAATCCTATTTGGTGTTGTACACCATGACGAGTAATTATGTTTTTCTGTACAAAGTAATGACAATCGACATCATTTTTATTCGCATCTAACCAATTTGGTGCACATAAACGTTCCATGCACAAAAGTATCGAACGAAGCCGAGTACTTCTTACTTGTTTCAAACTGTTTATTAACTTTTCATACTCTGAATTTGTATGCATTCACGTTAATATGTTCCCTTCTTTATAAGTGCTGAAGACGAGGACAAATATGCCATTTTAATTGCTTTATTCAAATTGAGGATAGTTCGTGGAAAAACACTGATTTTCACCAACTCTGTTGACCGATGTTACAAGTAAGTTAATTAAATTATTATCTTTTAAATGGTTGTTTTGTAAGCTCTGTTTTACTTTCCTATCGAATCGTAAAGTAATTTGTTTTAAATGCTCTGATATTCAGGTAAAGTTGTTTCTCTACCTTCTTAATAATATTCAAAAGCAGTTGTTATTCAAATACTAGGATACTTTTTGTCAAATATGAGTACAATCAGTCAACAAGTATTGGTGTAAGAAGAGCTGGTATCATAGTTTATGTTGCAAAACTACTTTTTTATAGAATAAACGGTTAATATTAGTTGTAAAGGAACGTACGTCTTAGCCAGCATAGCAAAAAGGGATCCAGGAAATGTATAAGTGGTAAAAAAGCAATAGTTATGTGTTTTAAAATGTTTATGTTGTAAGACGTATATTGTATTACTACTATTTCATTTGTACTAGTTGTTTACATCTTTACATTGAAGTTTAGAACTGAGATTGGTCAGTCCCTTCTGGCGTATGCATTGAAACAGTTATTAACATAGAATGCGGAATTATTAGCTTAGCGATCTTATGTATCAGTAGACCAATTTCCTACGTTACTGATGATGCTTTTCGATTTTCTGTACAAAAGTAGACCATGTGGGCTTAAATCTTTGATATAAAGGTTGGCAATCAAGTTCATCCCCACTTCACCTACTGTAGCCCGAGAAAAGCAGTAACATTACTAGTCTTCAGCCAAGACGTGTAACCGAAAGCCAGATTTACGGACTTATAATCAGTTATCGGATTTCACTAAGTTAAACTGAATCTGGTAAGAGTCAAATAATTAGACAATAGGTGATAACTTTTAAGTCACAGTAAACAAACATGTTCATTTTGGATGACTACTGTAAGTGCACACCGAGTTATATACAAAATAGGAAAGATCGGTTCGGTGAATGCATTTTCAAAACTGTAGAATCGCAAATATATACTCATTCTTAAAAATAATAATTATTATAGTAGTGATAATCAAACTCGGTTAAACATGGCAATAATAAGGTAAAGGAAGTAAAGGCATTAAAACGTTGTTTTTTGACAGGGAAACTATTAATAGTTTTGTCTTTATGGGCTTGAATATTCATCATGTAGGGTTAAGAAAGGAAGGTTCAGCATGATAACATAAAATGTTGAAATTGAGATGAACTGTAATAAGGAGGACCATAGAAACTGAGAAGCCAGTTGAAGATAAAAGGCGCACTTTTGAGAAGTCCTATGCCAGGATAAAACGGTTGTCCAGTGCTTCCAGATGTTCAGTGGTGGTCTAACATTGATCGGTTCATGAAATCAATAAAATATGATTGGTCATCGAACGCAGAATAACACGCACTTAGCCTACGGACTATTGAATATTTGATTTCCTTATTGATTTCTACTCCGGACTGATTGAGAGTGCTTGTAATTGAGATGAATAAAGTATTGTCTAGTTTATACTCGGCCATGAATGTGGATCTGATATAACGTGACTAATCTTATTATCGTAGTAACGTATCATCATAGTATTACTGAGAGAAAAATATTTAAAACTGTCATATCAGTCTATAGGGAGGATAGAAGGGATGCAAATAACTGTGAAGGAAGAGAAGTATGAAGGGAGAAGAATACGTGAGGTTAAGACTATGGTAGAATAAGAGATTATACCAGTTATTTTGAACACATAATTTTGGTTTTTCCAGATGTATGGCTAGTGCTTCGGAAATGTTCAAGTCCACAACAACAAAACTATTATTAGTTTCCCTGTCAAAAAATAACGTTTTAATGCCTTTACTTCCTTTACCTTATTATTGCCATGTTTAACCGAGTTTAATTATCACTACTATAATAATTATTATTTTTAAGAATGAGTATATATTTGCGATTCTACAGTTTTGAAAATGCATTAGCCGAAGAGAGAACTCTTCACCTAACTAATCTTTCTTATTTAATGTCTGAGTGGGCTTATTTAGTTTATATACAAGGTCTTTAATGGTCTTCTGCAATATGTTAAAAACTAACTGAAAAATTGTCCACTAATTTTTTATCCCAACATTACGTCTGTATGAGGAGTTTGGTGTAAAGTCCACTCAGGAATTCGTATAAGTCCAGTATTTCATGGTTATCTGTGATATTGAGTACTTAGTTCCGGAATCTTAACGGTAAGTAATTATGTGTCTATTATAGAATAAACAATTCCAGCAAATTAATTTTTAAAATTCAAAATCATAATGAATTCCAGTTTACCAATTGCATTACAAGTGTCCTTTTTTCAGGCTTCGTTTATTTTTGGAAGAGTTTGGAATTAGAGCAGCACTGTTAAATTCAGAGCTACCAGTCAAGTCACGTTCTCATGTTATCGATCAGTTTAACAGAGGGCTATACGACTATTTATTAGCGACAGATGAGTCGCAAGCAGATTATAGTACTTCAAATAATGAAGGTGGTAAAAAGTCATTAAAAAAGTAAGTCTTGGTTAAATTTACTCATTAAAATCCATTCTTAATTTTCCTTTCTCACTACAATGATAACTTAAAGACATAAGTGTGGAGTACTAAGTAAAGATTACAGACGAGTTATCTTTCACGTATGGTCACTCCCGACTGTTGTTGCTACCTTGATGTGGTGGTCGAGCTTGCCTATTGTGATAAACTAATCGAGCTATAATGGCTGGAACAATCATTCCTCAAGGTCCTACCATGCCAGACAGGTCAGTTAAAGAGCGGTAGGACCAAAAGCAGCAAACCCAAGATCCGAAGGCGAAGTCGTGCTGCTGACTTTACAGAGGTGTGACGGCAGTAAGGTGTTTTCTTCAGACAATCAGCGTGACAGCGATGCTGCCTTCCAACAAGGAAGGATGGGGTTAGAAAAGGTTCACCCTAAAAATGTACACCTCGCCTTATCCCACGGATATCCGTCTCCGGCGGTTAGGTCTCAACTTTGACTGACTGACTGATATGTGGTCACTTACCGTATACCTCGGTACACAATAATGTCTATCATATGAGTAGGTTGGAATTTAGTTAGGGTCGAGCAAACAAAGACATGGTTTCAGTTGTTGAGGTCAATGACCGTTGTTTTAAGTCGTTTTGGGTGTAAATTTCCTGTTTGGGGTTCACAATAACTATGGTGAGCGTTTGTGTACCTTGAGTGATATGGCTTAGGATTTACATCTCTTCTTTGTCTTTCTCTAGATCTTGAGTTTCAATATTACTTTTCATTTTCGTTTCCGTACTTAATTTGTTCTTTTTACGCTATGTTCACCACTTTTAATTTTTACTACCATTTTTACAATTACAATTAAGGTTCCTTTACACTTCATTTGGTTAGTTTCCACTTTCGCTGTGTCGATGTGGTAAATACTAACTTGGGTCGATCCACATATGTAAAATCTCACACTGCTTATGCAAGAATGATCGCTCTATTAGTTCGAATTATTGGTTTTTTTCACCTGCGGAAATTCGAAGGAAGAACAAGGAAAAGAGCTAGAGTAAATTAGAAGTATTAAATTCGGGTTTTGGTGTTGCGACTATGCAGACCGATACCTTCAAGTATACACAGCGCTAAGGTCATGTCGGGTGCAGAGAGTGGTTGTAGTATTATATTCAAATTTTTCTGAGAAAAACAAATGGCCTTTAGGTATAGTGCAGAGAGCGAGCTGAAACTACAACCATCATAAAAAGTACAAGTATTTATAATCAATTGTGTTCACAAAATACTCAGTGTCCGTTAACCGTATACTATCAGCAAAATCCTATTGTGAGAGAGAACAAAGCAGCTTCCATCTAAAGAGGAATTTGTGAAAACACGATGGAGGTGGATAGGACATACCAAACTGCATCACGGGACAAGTGCTAACTTGAAATCCTGAAAAGAAAAAAGAAGACTAAAGAACACAATGCACCGGGAATTGGAAGCAGACATGAAAAAATATAAATAGCAACTGGAAAGGATCGTCCAGGACAGAGTTCCGTGGGGAATCCTTGTGGGCGGCCTATGCTCCTCTACGAGAGGTAACAGGTGTAAGTAAGTACCACTAAGGTCAACCAGTGTCTATATGTGTCGTGTTTTATTACCTACACTCGTAATTATCGTCATTTAACTAATTCGAAAAATGAGATTACACTTTTCATTTACTGTAAGTTGTTACCGAGAGCATAGTTCTTTTCATCTTCGCACACTGCTGTTTCCGATGTAGTGGGACTACCATTCACTGGTGTGGACGATGTTTTACTTCCAATATGGTTTAATTCCACCTATCTAGTCTCACGACGAATTCATTTCAAAGTTATACGCTTTCTTGTTACATTGCTCTTTTCACTGTATTATAATATTCACTTCAAATTTACTCGTTTTGAATGCATTTTTCATGTTCTTGTCTTCATTTCCAAAGTTTATGTAGTTTTCTCCTATTTCTATACGCGGTATAGTATAAAATGTCCTTTTTTTACTAGATCACGGTGTCGTGATGTTGAATATGGTGTATCTAGAGGGATCGATTTTCAATTGGTCAGTAATGTAATCAATTTCGACTTTCCACCAACACCTATCCTTTATGTACATCGCGTCGGACGGACAGCTCGAGCTGATCAAATGGGAACTGCTCTTTCATTTGTCAGTAAATTGGAAGAAAGTCGTTTAGCTGATGTTGAAGCGTTACTAAATCCGGCTGGTGCAGCTGCTGCAGTAAAATCAGGTGTAGCCAGCGAGAAAAGTGTGTTACTTTCTATTTAATTTTGTTGTTGTCACAGTTAAATAGAAATAAATGAAAAAATTCATTCGATAATATTACCATTTACCAGTTGGCTTAATTAATCTTACTTTATTTAGTCGATATTTTGCACACGGTTAATTAACAATTGGGATTGGTTACACCTAAAGGAACTGAAATATCTTTAAGTAGTATTCTTCATAAAATATGTTTCGATTTTGTAGGATCATCACTATTCTGGTTGAGAATTGTCGTAATGATTTTCAGAGTTGTTTTTATTTTGAATAAACCAGTAAATTTAGCTACTGTTCTGTTTTAAAGTGGCTAGCTTTGTAGTAATATTCAATTCGTAAAAAGATCCAACTTTCTACAGCCTTGAATCACATAATCACTTAACATGAAAATGATTTGTGCTGTGATTTTGGATTATTTATATTAATGAGTACATGGAATCTGATCGATGAAACTCAATCAACATCAATGATTAGATACAAATGTGACATTACGTACTATCCACCGATTGGTTATTGCGTTTCCTTCCCGACTACATCTCTGAGCTGTACCGGGTTCACACCATACGGGGAGCACCAGTTTCCATAATACTGTAGATACTGTTGATTTTGAGATGGTGGGGAAGATTTGTAGCTCAGGTGGATGGTTTTGATGAAGTTTTGTTCTCTGAGCTGGACGGTTTGGTCGTGGAGCTTTCATCATTCTTCTGAACTACATCAGCACAAACTTCAGATAGATGTGATGATATCACGCAGAAGAACGATGAAAGCTCCACGACCAAACCATCCAGCTCAGAGAACAAAACTCCATCAAAATCATCCACCTGAGCTACAAATCTTCACTGTCGATACTGTTTTCTAATAACTAACACGAAAGCTAGATTCACAGTGTCCTTCCCGATCGACTCACTCACATTAGATTTAATCGATATGTTTTTATCAGCTCTATAGATTAAACAACATAACATCGATTTATTATCAACAACCAATCATCATAAACACTTGTTGACCGTTTTTATAACATTATATATTATTACTGCATTGCTTAAATATTCTTCTCCCCTTAATTACAGAAGATTTTGCTTCGTCTATCTTCAGACCTTATCAGTTTCGTCTTTCTGAAGTAGATGGTTTCAGATACAGAGCAGCTGTAAGTTTCATATAAATGCATAATTGACGTGCATTTCATTTTTTCTGGAAATTCTAAGTTTAGAGAAAGAATATAATACATTGTATTTGTTTGTTTGTTTATTGTAGGATGTGATGCGCCATATAACTCGTAAAGTTGTAAGAGAAGCACGTTTGAAAGAAATCAAACTTGAACTACTAAATTCTGAACGTTTGAAAGGTTACTTTCAAGATCATATACCCGATTTAGAGGCGCTTCGTCATGACAAACCACTCAAACATGTTGCTCAACCACATCTCAAAGATGTACCAGATTATCTAGGTAAGGTTCCAAATATAGAAGTTTGTGGATAATAATATACTGAGTTATTCGATCTACCAAACCAAATTAGATGGAGTGTCGTGTTTAGAAAGTTCAGCCTAATGGTTTAAATTTGAACGCTGATCATTTGACTGTTGGCTCGTTTTATATAATCCAGGTCATTCGAACGGGGGCAATATTAAAGATCACGATTATGGTCCATAGCAAATCGGATGAAGAAATAATATAAGAAAAGAGGGAATTAACCGTTTGTTACTGTTGGAGAACAAAGCTAAAAAAATAACTGTTGTAGTTAAGATACACTAGCACATGAAATGAAACAATTCATAGGGAGTATCCTCAGACATTTCAAGTGATCATTTAAACATACTTGGAACAGTACCATAAAACAGTCCGGTAAAACTAACAAGTTCTTCAGTTTTATCACTGATTGCAGGTAATTACGTGGAACAACAATAATACTGACTTCATCCTTCTAATCTAATGATCTACGATGAATGTGACTATCGTATGGTGAGTCGTAGAGACCACAGGTGTTTGCAGTTGGTAAAGATTGACGCTACTAATAAAATTGATTCTGCTTCTAGGAGTTTAAGCGTTGAATATATTTAGTTAGGTGTGATCAAATTTCATCACAAAGAATGTAGTTACTTACAACAATAATGTAAGCTTTGCTGTTAAACCACTGAACTCGATAGCATCAAATGCCCTCACCTAAGTTACGCATTTTTTTATTATTACAAAACTAAACTGTGCAATATGATTATTCAAACTAAAAATATAATACTCCATATACCTATTATCAAGTGGATTTCACTGTGTACTAGTAAAACTTAATTATTGCATTGACACCATGTATTGGCAGTCAAAGCATTCATTTTTCAATTACTAATCAACAGATTCGGACTCTGTTTCACGCACTTGAACTCGGTTATTTGAGTAGTAGTAGCAGTTTTACTAGTTCTTACACACAAGATATGGCTCAGAGCTAGATACACAAACTTGTACTCGGTTACACTAGTGTTTTGTTAATGACATGTACAGTTTTTAGATCGGTTTCACGCGTACTCAAGGCTTTGTGATGTGAACTCATTCTTAATAAGCTATGGGATTAAATAATAAGAAACTAACACTTGGTCTTCAATAACAGGGGTACTGGTTCAAACTCTGTCAACTTCATTTTATGCAGTTGGTTAACATCAGTAACCTTTACACCCAAAGTATAACTTTATACTTGATGAGTTACAACACTATATCGTGGTAAATAAACTATTTCATTATACGAAACTATAAATCTTCCTGTTATTGACAGTACTTCCACATATATTACGGAATGCAAGAAACATGTCATACTTCATCAAGATTGAACTAGTGAATTCGAATCTTAATTGGCGTTTAGATCATAGTTTCTGTATTAATATATGCCTGGAAAATGGATACATGTATAAAGGATGAAGTATATATAAAGTAGTCAGATGACTGCCCTCTTCAGTAATTCCAGTCGAAATTGATTCAAGCAATTCTGCTTTTTGACGTAAATACCATCGGTAAATATACATATGACTTTGTACGAGCCTTCTACATCTCCACACTTCTCTCGATTTTGATATAGAGGAAAAATAAGATTTTTAGGCATTCATTACTAAATGCAATCCTACTGTTAGAACACTAGGTTTCAGATACGACTCAGCAGGGTCAATAGGACTTGATCGTTAGACAATACGGTAGATATTAAACCGGACACTAAATGGCCATTTAGATCACTAGTGTACAGATATTCAAAGTCCAATCAATGATTGAAAAACAGATTACACTGGGTGATAGTTTATTGATATAGATTACAAACAGTCAACATATGATGAAAACTGAGTAGAAATCAACAGTGAAGGGAAGTTACGGTATTACATAGTCTCATATGTTTAGCTTAGTCGTGTGTTGATCTTCTCTTATTAGCCAGTCATGTGTAATCTTCACCGAAACATCGGATTTATTGTCCTGTCTCAACAGTAGTTAGGATTTCTCTCCTAGTTGCAATCATTTAGTTCACACTTGACCTTTTATTATTTAGTTCGTTATGAGTAATCAAATCAATCTTTTCGTTTAACTTAAACTATGATGTTAATAGTCTTTGTTCTGCTTGTTTTTTTTCTCGCTTGTATACGGTTCACTATAATGATCTTTTTTTGCTTGAAATATTTCATTGAATATATCATTTTATCATTTTTATTTTTAGTTCCTCAATCCTTAAAAGCTCTTATGCCAGGCAGCTGTCATAGTCGAAAAGCTACGCAAAGATGGAAAAGAAGAAATTTACACACTGATGATAAATCTAACACTTCATTTGTTGATCTTAAAAAGCGTTTACAAATTAAACATAAACAAGCTAAAAAAGTGAGTTGGTTTAGTCCATAGTTTAATCAACCTGCGTTTATTCAGTTGTTACGTCGTTTTTCATGTGTAAGGGCCTTAAGCTATTCTGGTAATTCGTAACATTGCCTGTGGTTATAGAATATATCATGTTCTGATAATGATCATACACATGAATTCCAGAAATAATATCGAACACGAAAGTTAACACTGGAATAAGTTGCTTATGTACTGATGGTAGAAGAGTAGAACATAGTAGATGTTCATTGATAGCAGACAGTCTTAGCGCATTAAACAAAACTACATACAAATTAACAAAATAATACTAAAACCTAAAGAATAAAAAATGTTTGTCGAAGTTGTGTTAGTCAGTAGATTAATTGAAGGTAAGGATCATTTGATATTCCACCTGAGATACACATACGCTTGATATACCCGTTTCTTAGTGTTTAGCATAATTTTATTTATTTATTTTAACACATAGATATTGGTACTAAGAGGCACCAAATACATATGCGCCACACAAATCTCATTCGATATGTGTGGGGGCTGTGATACTGCCCGGGTGCCCAAACCGAAGCAGGTGGTTTTCTTAGAGGCCCACTCCCCGAGCCTTCGACCTGAAGGTTTGACCCACAAGGCAGTGGAGCATCGTAAGGAGATGCAGTCCCATGGAAGCCGGTGACCAACAATTGGTTCATACGCCACTTGTTCCCGCAGGATACTGGAGCCCATGTGCACCATTGGTTTGGAATCCGGTCAAAGCGCCGGACATTCGCTTTTCGTCCTCTCATTTTCGTAAACAACACCCCCGCCACGAGAAGGCAGTGAGTAGTACTTCCCCGGCAGAGGTTATATACGCGTGGCCGTGTGAGAGCATTTCGAGAGGGAGAGCGGACTCTTCCCACTCTCGGCCGTACCAGGGCATTTGGGGGCTTAGTATAATTTAGGAGAAAGTAATGATTAGTTTTTGGTAAATTGATCAGCAACAAATAATGTTTATCATTGATCAAATGTAGTGATCAGTGCAAAGCCGAAAACCAACCTAGTTATTCTGATGAGTAATGACAAGCAGTAGAATGGGCTGTTGTCACATAGTCATTCAAATTCCAGTGTTGATATGTTCTTTTCCTTCGAACAGAATAGTAAATTTTTTTTGATAAATTGGTGCATCAGTGATTTATTTATTTCTGATAAGTAGGCTTTATAAGTACTACCACCAACCGATATTTTTCCTTGAAATTGTCTTTGATTCTACTGTTGGTTTTGGCTTTTCTACGAAAATTTACTTATCAGCTGCTAAGTAAAGTGTGTAACGAATGACTTTTAAAGTTCTCTGACCTTTTTGTTGCTTTTCGAGAATTCAATATCTTCACAGTTTAGACGTTTGAGTCCGTTCAGGATCATCGGGCTCAATAAAGAAGTCTTATCAACCCATAATTATTCAAACTAAAAAGAAAAAGATCAATTAAATATCACCTAAAAATTATAGAGGTCATACCTATGGGAAAAATTACATTGAATGGAATAACTACCTTTTATCTTTGTTGATATGATTAACTAGCTATTGGATATCACAACATATTTCCACTCATATCAATGCATATTTACAACTGTAGTACACAAATTCGACAGGGAAAATGTTGAGATTTTAATTAGAGCAGACTTAAAAAGGTTAAGGAGAACTTGTAAGAAACTTGGCACAGGAATCAATAGATAGATTGAAATAAACTCAATCTAGCAATCAATGATGACTAACTGCTAGGTTGGAGATTAATTAATTTAAAGAAAAACGGTAATTAAAATATTCATGAGATAATGACCGGAAAAGCTATGGAGAAGTGCTAATAGCTCATATTCTACTGAATTCATTGGTACTGATGTTATTTATAAAGGGAATGAAAGATTGGTGACTAAGTTGTAGTGTGGCGTCGAGTCGCGGTTGACTATGATCACCACTACAGGAAGACTATGTGCCAGTTAACCGATAAGATCCCCCGTAAGCCAAATATCAGAAGGTAGTTGATGGCTGTAGTCGAGATGTATTTGTTGGCGATCTCGTGGTATCGAAAGAATACCGAGATCGTGCCAAAGGAGTACAAGTGTGGTTGTGTTTGTTTGGATCATAGTGCATATATAATAAAAGAAAAAAACAGACATAAAGCACTGTTTTTATTACTGGAAAGAACGTATTCATATAGAAGTTCACTTTTCATTATCTTTAATTGTTATCCTCTCCTTTCAGCGTAAATCTCAAAACCCATTATTTTCATTTGGACGAAAAAAATCTAAAGTTGGCTAACGCATTTAATGACTTTTCAATAATTATTCAATGAATAGGAAAAAAAAACACAGAAAAGAAGCCGCTATTTGTATTGTGAATCAATTGTTTCATTATTCTAAAGAATCAAATTATTTGACATTACTGTGTAATTGTTATTACTTTTACTAGTATGTATGATTGTAAATAATTATTGATGCATAATCATATTTTTTTTTGTTTAAATCAAGTGGATTTTATGGAGACTGTTTTAATTTATAGTATACGCCACTAAATGATCTTAGTTGATGGTGCCGCCCCCAAATGCTGTGGTACAACCGAGAGCGGGGAGAATCAACTCTTCCTCTCGAAATGCTCTCACATGGTCACGTGCATACAACCACTGCCAGGGAATTCCGACTCACTGCATTCTCGCGGCGGGGATGCTGTTTACGAAATTGAAAGGACGAAAAGCGAAACTGGCGCTTTAATCAGGTTGGTGGACACGGAGAGTCCACCTAGGGTAGTTGGAAAACTCTCATTCCAAACCAATGGTGCACATGGGCTCCAGTATCCTGAAAGAACAAATGGCGTATGAACCTATTGTTGGTCACCGGCTACCATGGGACTGCATCTCCTGACGTTGCTCCACTGCCTTGTGGATTAGACTTTTAGGTTGAAGACTCCGGTTGTGGCGTTCTAAGAAAACCATCTATTTCGGTTTGGGCACCCGGGCAGTATTCCAGCCCTCACACAAATCGAATGATTTATGTGGCGCATATCTGTTTGGTGCCTCCTTGTACCAACGTTTATGTGTTTAAATAAATAAAACCGCTGACAAAACTAAGAAGTACTGGATAGCTATCTCATAATAATATAATATTTCTCAACTGAAATCATTCTGTGATGAATATCAACTACATCTTTGTTTATAATGATTGTGAATTAAGGAAATATTGAGGCAATCCGCACAGGATAGACATATGCCAATATGAAACTGATCATTTACAGTTCTAAACATCGATAGGAATAAATTAAAACATCACCCCATTGCACAAGCTAGTGGCTATCTGTACTCAATAGCTAGGTGGATAAGACGATGGCGTTTGAACCGAATGATGTTGGGTTCGAGTTTCGGAGTAAAAATCAACTCTGCGATGCAGGTGCATCCAGATGATGAGTCTCAAATAGGACGAAACGCTTGTTTCAGATTCCACTGCTAGTCACCATCCATCTTTGCTTATGAAGTATGAAGAGAGTTCAAAATACACATTCACTTATAGGATTTATAAACATGTTAGTTCAAATATTTGAGAACTGTTAGTATAATTGATAGATTAGTTAAATCATTAGTTTTTTCGTTTATCCTCAAAAGTTTAAAATCAGTATGTGTTATTGAGTTGTTTCTATTCCTGATATTAAACAATATACTCACATAAAATCTTGATTTTTATGACTATCCTTCAGTATCATTAATTCCACTGTCAATATGTGACAACCTAATAAAATATCCAGGATATAATGTATTTTTAAATAATCATCTACAAGAGCATGCATACTGTGAAAGTATACAACAACTATGTAGCATGTAAGAACTAGTCAATATACAAAGAGTACTGTCGTTTCTATGATGAACTGTAGTTATCGAATGTTGATGATTACTTAAAATTGATATAAGATGAAGTTAAGTTTAATGTATTCGACAATTAATATGATACATATATACATTTATTGATAAAATTGTTATAAAACATTAGCCGGAAGAAAATTAAGTTTATGAAATAAGTTATAAAGCAATAAGAGTTCGTAAATTATGTCGTATCTTTGACTTTCGTTCTGTGAATTCCGTAGATTGAGAGTATACCATCATGAGATCCAGTAGATACCTATGGGTAAAAAAAAGGAAAAGACTGCAATTTATGCTAAATTGTGATAATACTTTTGGTTTTTAAGCCTGTTTCAATTCTTCGTAGTGCTCCAACTAACGATACCTTCAAACAAGTGAGGAACTTAAGAAATTTCTTAGTGGAGTTTTGTTCTCTGAGCTGGACGGTTTGGTCGTGGAGCTTCCATTGTTTTTCTGAACGACATCATAATCAGTATTTCAATGTAATTGCGTGAAGAGAAGTGTTTGTAAGGTTGTGGTATTCTGTATTGAGTTAATCTCACTGTTCTAAGAACCATATCATAGGAGCAAATCCAATTAGAATTCAAACCATGCATTTTCCTAATAGACAACTTAATTTTTTTATAGTACTGTAAGCTCAGATAATTGTGTTTCCTTTAACTCATTATGTAAAATACTCTTTATAGAAGTTATTCGTAATAATTTTAAGAATATACAGCAAGTAGTTGTTATCATCAGATAAATGTACTGGTAAGTATTTCTTGTCGGAAAATAAAGCAATGGAGAAGATTCGCAACTCAGGTGGGTGCTTTTGGTGGTGTTATGTTCAATGGACTGCATGGTTTAACCGAATAAGGTCTGGGCATCCGGGCAGTATCCCAGCCCTCACACAAATCGAATGATTTATGTGGCGCATATCTATTTGGTGCCTCTTTGTACAAATGTTTATGTGTTTAAATAAATAAATGTGGAGATTGTTAACTTTTGAGTGAGACCATGAATCGATCAATGTTAGACCACCATTGAAAACTTGGAAGCATTACATGGTTTAATTGTTAAGCTTTCACTGTCATTCTTGACATCTTCAGAATCTACTTCATGTATAAGTGAGCTTTCCAGTTATTTCATAAACATTACATTAGTTTGTTCTGATGGAATTGTTTGTGATCAACTGTTTTCGTATATTTTATCAGCGTCCATTTTCGCATTCATATTGACTGTCTTGGTGCGTTGACTTCTGGCCTCTAGACTAACTGATCCTATCAAGGAATTTCTCGAAGCATGACATTGAGATAAATTATCAGTCAATAGCCACGTTGACATAGAGCGAGCCTGTAAGCTCATATTGAGGAGATCAGTCAATCATGACGAAGCGAATAATTCAATTACGAGTGAAAATTTGTTAACTTGGTTTCGAATTACATTCTAAGTGTGAGAGATAATGTCACTACCAGATTGTTTAAATTGAATTATGTGAAGCGGGGTTCGAATCTACAAATAAATGGTTAAAAATTTAACACCCTAACCACCAAGCCACTGGTGTGGACGTTAACGGACAAAGACAATCAACATGAATGTAAAAATGGGTGGTAACAACAAAATATACAAAGACAGTCGATCACAAACAATTCCATCAGAACAAACTGATGTAATGTTTATGGAATAACTGGAACACTCACTTCTACATGAAGTAGACTCTGAAGATGTCGAGAATGACAATGAAAACTTATCAGTTAAACCATGTACAGCTCAGAAAATAAAACAAACAGAAATATCGAAGTGCTAAGATTTAGAAATCGCGGTGTTTATCTGTGTTTCTAAATAAAAATACACAAAGACTTCACTATGACTTAATTATAAATTCTTACTTCAGGCTTGGACGGATGCCAATCCACTACAGTAGCTGGGCTATTATTAATTCGCATTTCGTGGTTTAATATAGTCAGAGGATGTGAACAAGCTTTTCGTACATCATATATAACAGGTGATGATTGATTCACATCCATTGTACCTCCTACTAACAATTTTGTTCCACATGGACTAAACACTGCTGTTACAGGTGGAATAAGAGTATTTCTACTTGATCCACTTGAGTAGATTTCAGATGAAAGTTTGGTCAATTTCATTACAGGATATCGACTTTCCCTAAGGTCCCATATTTGTACACAATCCTTTGGTGCCACTGTTGCATATACTGTATATCCCGTACCAAGTGTTGTAGTATTTTGTATTGAATCATTGAAGCTTGAATACAGCGATCCCTAAATATGAGATTTATATAGATTCAGTTTATGATAAATGTAAAAGTAACCAAAAAAATTAGCAAAGAGTAATAGTGTCGGTAGTGATATAAACAGCGAATCAATTAGTCACATAGAAATAGGATATAATGGGTTTCAGATACACACACTTCTAGTCTGAGCCATGTTGGTAGATGCAGACTACTTGGTTGGGGACCGCGTGACTTTCGTAACCAATGGTTGGAGACTCTTGGTGACATGGCTCAGAATCGATCACAATGGCGTCGGTGTATACACTCCCTGTCTTCCCTTAAACTAAGAGACTAAAATCACTTCATTCTTTCTGTCTACGAACTAATTCTTTCTTCCTATACTATATCCTTATTGCAACCTTTGACCTAACCACTCCTATGAATCCGCTGTTCATCTTGCTGTGCTAATGAGGTATGGCAACCTGGACCGATGCACATATGTGCCTGGTCTTACGTTGTAGCTGACTGACTGACTGAGATACACAGAATTCCGACCAGTTATCTGATTTGGCTCAGGGCTGAAACACTGAGGTTTCCAGTATTTTGTTAGAAGTGTGGTTCCTAGGTATCAGAAATAATAGTTCCTAAGTCCTATTTATGAACAGTGATTGTATATATGGAAGAGAACGAAGGTCAGGAAGCGTTGTCGACAAGACTATAAGAAAGTGTTAAGATGGACTTAAATTTTCCTAGAAGTGTGTGGTTGGTTAATACCGTCCGGCTGACAACACAGTCGAAAGATGTTTTTGGACGACTTCATTCAGAAACTGGGTTGATAACATAGCTGCAGAATTTTATGAATTGTTCTTTGAACCTAACCATACACCACCTTTATGCAAGTAGTGTTTACTTTAGTTCTGTAATTTTCAAAGCATATTACCGTCTTTATAAAACTATAGGACTATGGGCGTGTGGTATTTTTCAAGTTAACCTTATCTAAACACTTCCATTTCTAGGAAAACAAGATCGATGCAGATGTCCTTATCCGTGGAAAACAATCTGAATCCACTAAAGCCCAGAATAACAAGAAGCTTGACTTCGCTCGCGAACTTGAAGCAGTTTGCTTTTAGTTTCATCGTTAAACTGTGAACTCTCATGATATAGTTAATATATCAAAAGGTAAAGTGTTCTAATCAAAAGAACTTGGTTGGTTCATCACATTAGGCAAACCTGACCGCTCTTGTAAAGGTAGCAACAACAACCTGATAATAGATAAATAAACTGAACCCTAGTTTCGGTAATATGGAAAATTCTACGTTTTCTGATTTAATTGTTTTTTTTTCCACAGTATTTTATTGTTTTTTGGTCAAGTGAATGATTCCAAAGAAA